CTGAAGATGGTGCTGTGCTTGGAACTATACCGTACGTCGCATATTTGTGTGGCTAAGTGGGTGAATTTGTCCTGCGATCAGCTGACGGTCTGATAAAGTCGTAATGATCACATACTGGAGGGGCAAATCCTGGGAGTGGCGGGAACCTGGGGCGCGATGAGGGACCATCACCTGAGGCGGGAGGGGTGTACCCATCTACACAACTCAGCTCGCCACGCAGGTATTGAAATCCATGCGACTCACGAGATCCGTTATTATACATCCCTTGGCCCATAGACGCTGCTTGGTTTTGCTGCACAGCGGAGAGGATACGGTCCAGTGACGACTGCATACCAATCATCTGGCTTTGCATGACCTATCTCTCGATGAGCACAAGTGCCACTGGGGTGAACTGCTCGTTGCTCACCAGGTACTGGCCTTCCAGACGTGACAGCCGTCTGTGGGACGGTGAAGGAGAACGAGTGCGTGTCATGAGAGTGGATGAGTCGTCAGGAGGCAAGGAGAGTGCTCACTCGACGCTGGCATTGGACATAACCTGAACATTTTTCTTTTCGGGCTTTTCGAAAACGCAAGGAGTGCCACTTAGTTGACATCGTCGACATGGAGCCTGCAAAGAGGACAGTGAGCCGGGCCGGGCGGCGTGTGCGGGCCAGCGAAGGAGAACGGGACGAGCTCGAGCCACGGAACGAGTCAGACGTACCTCTCCTTCACATCTGTTCTTGCCTTTCCGGCAGGCGGTACAGGCCCGCGCGCCCCTCTTGGGAATGTGGGACTGAGCAGTCGGGGCGGGCAGGGCTTGGTGTTGCGTCTGATCCTGAGGAGACATCATCTGACCGTTACTGGGGCCGCCGTAGGCTGTGTTGACTGTGAAAGAGGTGCGCCGCCGTTTTCCTGAGGGGGGATCGTAGGCGTCGTTCGACGTGGAGGGCGACAGCGACATGTTCCGGGGATGTGGACGACGACAAACGAGGGCCCCTTGACCGGTCACGACGGGAGCCCGCCCGCTGCAGATAATAATTGATTTTTGAACCCATAATATTCCTTTTTCTAACCGTGCGAATCACAGCGAGCTATTCCGAATCGGGAAACTGATCATACACGATCATCACTTGACCCGGGTCACCTGACTGCCTCCCCACCCTCCTCTTCAGTTCTTGCTCTCATCCATTCATCTGCAGGGAGCCCTTCACCGCACGAACGTCTCCGCTGACGGTGATAAGCCGCGTCTTCTTGCTAATGAGTTCACTTTTCATTTTCCAGCAGATTAAGCTCACTTCTGTCCGACACCTCGGGCTGATGGGCCACAATGCCTCAACTATTACCCCGACATGCATGTAAACCGTCTGGGGTAACAACGAGCCTCCACCGACGCTGTTGCACATGGAAGGCTCGAGACGTGAGTCGCAATGAGCTACGCGAAGCCATGCTTCCTCTCACCCAGACATTTATAGCACTGTGAACATCAGCTGACTCTGCGTTCTGAATAAAGCTGCTGTAAGGCTCTGTTATCGTTCACGACAAACGGTTGCCCTTGTTCCGGATACCTTTCTCACTTGCAGGCCTGCGGTACCGTAACCTGCAGGAAAATCATCTTCACCTTCTCTACCACAGTCCACCACCGTCTTCTCCAAATCTTCTCCGCCGATCTAGGTGCCCCACATTTCCCGTGTCACAATCGTATCTCGCTTTGCATTTCACCTCCCGGGTTCCTGGGACGAGCTTGGAATTTGAAGGCGGATCCAAAAGGCTCGAACACCTGTCTCGCGGCAGCAGAGAACAGCTCAAGAATGTACCCCACTTGTACTCCACGACGGCGAAGTCCAACTATTGTCAGCTTGGATCACAAGTAGTCCCAATAATTTATGCTGTAATGTAACAGTTCCGTGTATGGTGCGCTGGAGTCCAATACCGACGATGAAAAGAAAACCTCTCTACTTGCTGGCGGCTTCTACCACACTGAGAGCAAGAGAGCACACCACCGCCATGAGGGGCGAGATGAGGTACTAAAACTGCTGTCAGAGATTAACGCATGCGGCCATGAACGGACGTACAGAGACAAAGAGATAACCAGCAATCGGTCCCTGGTCTACGTTGACGATTTCTGCGACGCTGACGAGTAGCATAGCTGATGGGCCTGCTGGGATGAGCACGAGAAGGAACCTAAGGGTCGTGTTGAGTGCCGAGGACGCCTGATGGGAGACCACAACATAACTTACCATACAAGCTTGTCATCCACATACCAGCCACGCCCGGCGGTTGACCAGACAAACAGGATACTGAGAGCTGGCATAATGGCAAAACGAATGGTCATTGAATACGAAGCCGGTATCCATCCGGGATGCGCTCTTGAGACTAAAGCAAGCTCAGCCCCGACAACAACCGTTTGAAGCACCACACTGCGAAGCGAGCGTAAGTATACACGGCTAGCAAGGCTGAAATCACGCACAATAAATCCCCGAGATTCTTGAGACTTTGAGTGAACGAACTGTACAATGCGCCATCTTTACTTAGGAATGCGCCATGCAATGGCGGAATCATCTGCAGGTGAGAATGGGATCAGAACTCTGACAAAAGGGTTATTCAAAAGAAAGGTACCCCAAGAAACAACGCAATAACAGCTCCAATCAACGGTGGACTCATGGAGTTGTACAACCGCTTGAGTGGTTTCTCGGCGAACCGCAATTTCTGCGGCCAATGAATATCTGGCTGGTCGCTGATGGGTTCCAATGCTAATGCGTAGCGAGCGGGATCATCCTCGACGGTACCGTAAGACCTATGCTCTTGAAGCAGGCCTACCCGTTCGGTATCCTGCACCACTGCCGGAAGTCGCTGAGGGCCCGTGCCAGGGGTCAAACGCGATGGTCCGTACTCTTCGTCTCCTTGTCCGCCGTTTCTGGAATGCTTGTCACGCTCCAAGACCGAAGGTGCCAACTGGAAAGTGAGGGTCTGCTGTACGATGACGTTGAGAAGCAGCAGGGACTTGGCACGGTCAAGCGTCTCGGATACTGTTTCTCCTGGACCAGACAGTTCGTCCAACACACCCGTATACTGGAGTGATTGAAGAAGGAGAAGTGGAAGGGCGTTGGAGTTTGGACGACCCGACGCCACGATGGTCCAGTACGGCATTTTGAGAATTGACTGTCCCAGCCAACCTAGAAGGTGAGCGATGACGGTGCTGATGAGACCCCATAGCGGTATGATCCACAGATTGCTGAGTTTTGAGACGGTCAACTCGGGGCCCATCTGCACGATAATAAGGCACGGAAGGAATATCGATGTGGACAGACTGGATAGTCGTTTCACAGTACTGCGATCGAGGTAGCCGTATTTTGCGACATAATAGCCTGAGAAAAGCGTAAGGAGGACAGAGACTGTGCCCTTGAGGGCCCCGACGAAACTGCTGGCGAGGGATGAACCGGCGAGCATGGTGGTCGCGGAAGGAAAGAAAGAGCACGCGACCACAGATTTGAGGGAGCCATTCCTGACGTCATTCCATTCACGGTCATGTGACCAGTAAGTATTCCACGACCAGAGCATAGCGGAGAACGAGAAGCACACAGTCCAAGGCAGCGAAGCGGATCACAGGATATCCTCATAGTCCTCTTCAACGCCAAGATGCTTCCGGACCTCCTCCGAGTCGACCCCATGTTGTCTGGTAAAATAGGAAAGCAGAATCACATAGTCGTCTATAATGCGTCATGAGTTAACGCCACACGACTGGGATAACTGACTGACCCGTCCAACGCATGCAAGCTTCTTTCGCGAGGATGACGGCGCGTTTCTTGTCTTCGATAACTATCGGGTCGCAAGCTCCGTACTGAGAAAGTTCGACCTCAAGCTCGCCCAACTCGCGTTGCGCAGCGGACAATTGTGAGAGGGCCGCTTTGCGTTCTTCCTGTAAAACGAACGACCTGTAATGGCGGCCCGAATAGTATACATGCAGGAGGACTTACACTTTCGGGTCGTGCAAGTGTTTCGGCATTGATGGTCGTACGAAGGTCTTTGAGCTGCGACTGAAGAGATGTCTGATTTTCCTTCACTGTAGCCAACCGGTTGTGCATCTAAAACAGAATGGGTAACGTTCTGAGCACAGAAAATTTAAAGCGATGACAGGAGGAACGCACCATAGCGCCGCGCTGTGAGGGAAAACTCCAAAAGACTGGATATATGCGTGTTATATGGGAGGTTTAGGGTGCGACGGTGCGTTCTTACAGTTTGACGACCCGATTTTATCCCCCTGCACTAGTCCGTCATCCACTAGTGACTGTAAAACATCTTTGACGGACTGGGATACTAGAACAGTAAGAGTTGATATAAGGCTGTGGCGCTGCAAAGCGTATGGGCATACCTATGCCTTTCAGCTTGGGCGCGAGCTTCTCTAGTTCCTTGAGCTTCGGAGAACGCAAAGTGGTTGGGATAAATGTAGTCACTCGGACATCCCCTTCGGCTCACCTGGTAGAAATCTTTCTACGACAGAGGTCAGTCCGTAGCGAGGTTAAGTTAATATGACTAGGAACACACCGATTCATGGAAGATCTCCAAAAGCCTTACTCGTTTCTCTTCTGCTGAAACACCTCTTGGAGCCTGTGCTAGTTATGGGACCCAATGACAAGTCGGAGGCCCGAGAAATCTTACCATGCTATGAGCTGTACAGATGGGCGGACGTAAGAACGTGTTCCTGTTAGGTGGTGGAACGAATCAAAGACTCCGTAGATGCGTTCAAACTCACACCGAGGGCGAATCACTTTCGCTCGGAGGAGAACTCGGAACGGACTTAAGGCGCGGCGTTTGTCGCATATCCCCGTGCGGACAGGATTGAGGAACATTGAAGTATTAAGCGCTCGACAAGACCAAGTTCATGTTGACGATTGTTCCGATGAACACAGTCGTACGCGTTCAGTAAAAGGAGATAAATGACCTTTCATGTCGACTCAAATCCCTGATGAAGTACGACATCAAAAGTATCCTCAGATGATTTTGCCAAAAAGGATTCAAAAAAGTGTCCCAGGGAGGATTCGAGCCTCCGTCTTCACGGAGCACGTGATACCACAACGTGATGATCTAACCACTAATCGACAAGGACCGAAAGTAAGTGCCAACGTTGGGAACTATGTTGGTTCAGAGACTTGCTGTGACTGATGTGGTGGAGCATCCGTTGTTCTCGACTCTGGTCATCCGAATCGGCACCATGGCACATGCTGCCCTGCTACGGATTGGCTCTCTGACTCTGTGTTCCTCCCTCATTCCCATCATCTTTCGTTCACCCCTCTGACCCAACGCCCACGGAGAGTCGCTATAATGAGGAAAGCGTCCTATGTTATAGCACTGTTCGCTGTACTCTTCACTCTAACCCTGGTGAGCCGTTCACATCCGAGTCGTTGACTGCAAGACTATGCTAACTACGGTGCGCTGCAGAACGTTCTCTCAGCCCGTAGTACTGATTGGTATGTCCCATCCTCGCCTCTTCCACGTCAAGGTCCTAATAGTTTCGTCAGGCTGACCGTAAAGTCCGAGGTCTACTCCTCCAAATTCATCATCAAATATGGTCTCTTTACGCGATGTGAACGCTCTCATATCGTCATACCTTCCCCCGGAGACGACTCCCGCTTTGAATGGACGGACTACAAATGTCGTTCCTTCCCAACTCGCGTCTCCGATGGATGTGACAAGGACAACCAGGAGTTCTGCATCGTTTGGACGACTGCCGGTTACCTCACGGAGTTGAGTGCGGGGTTGGCAGTTGTAGCATCCCTGTCGATCATCTTTGGCGTGAGCACGCATTCGAGGCGGAGGAGGATTTGGAGGGCTGTGGCAGGATTTGTGGGATTGCACAGTGAGTTGCAGATTCACTCCCACTCGAACGCGGATGGTTCTGATATAGAAACAAGCCGCCCTACAAATTGCTACTTTCGGTCTGGTTACGGATGCCTACAACCGAGACTCGTATCCTGCATTTCAGCAGGCTCGCCCTGGTCGGTTCATTCCAGTTCTCATCCGTCAATATTAGGCTCTTACTTGCACAAACAGGCGTGGGCTACATCCTCAACTTGGTGTCCTGGGTCATCGGTATTTTGATTACGTTTGGTGTCGCTATTACCGGCCTTGCTGCAAGTAGAGGCCACAGGTGGGCTGCTGGAAACAGAGCCTACCAGGCCATTCAGGGCTGAACTATTATGACTGCCAGGTCCCCTCCAGTTGCCTCACACTATGCGCCTTGTAAGATATCTGCATCGTTATTCGATTGCCTAGCTATGTATATTATTAGGATTTAAGCAGTTCGTGGAATGCCAGAAAGTCAACGATCGGTAAAGTGCATCCAGTGAGTGGACCATGCCTGACGGAGACGTCGCAGTATTCTGATAACAGTCTCTGATTGGTCTAGCTGAGTGACCAAGAATATTACAATGATTGAAACCTTCAGTTCATGCACGTACCTCCGTTCGAATCGTGAATCGCAAAGTGTCAACAAATGGATATGCGAGGCCACAACAGTTTCGTACGCATCGGCCTCAGTCCGTCGCACTGCCGAGCGGTAAGCTAAGTTAACTAGACCTGGTGCGGAGAAAGTTCGTGATAAGGAATGTCAAACTTGGGTTCCAATTACAGGCAACGCTGATCACCGCAGCTCAGGCTCCCTCACACCTCTGGCTGCTGATATGATTACTATGGAAAGCCGGACTGTCAAGCTTCGTTAAGTGTTGATGGGAGCAGAGTGCCTGAGCAGGACTCCTGACACTCAAATATCAACATTATCAACATTTTCCTGCCCTCTCCCGTTGATTGAGAGCTTGAGTTCACAAAAAAAATAGAAAATCGTAAATCACAAACTTCTAGTTCGGCGATGCTCTTCAGGCTGAGAAACTCCGCCAGTGGAAGCCGAGTTCAACAAAACCTCTGCTGTTGAAAAAGAGAAGTATGAAGTCTGCTGCTCATCTTTGCTGGGAATATAAAAACTTACAAGCAGAAGACTCGGAGGTATACTCGCCAGGTGGAAGTGACCTCCGGCGGGGGGAATCTGATGAGCTCGTTGAAGGATCGGTATTGATCATGAGCGATGATGATTGAAGCATTGCAAACGACTCACCAGAGTATGTATTTGTGATAGGGGGTAGTGGCGACAAGGTTATACCTTGCCCATGTTACCATGTACACCCAATGTGTGAACCTGAGAATACTTACCGTGACTCAGAGGGGGCCGCCGCTGGCGAGGAAGCCTGCGACCTTGATGGGACTGGTCCTGTGGTCTGAAATAAGGTAGCTCTCAATAAGAATCCAAGCATTGGAAATAGTTTGGTACTTACCTCAACTGTATCCCGTTGCCTGTTGTTTCCGTCTCCAGCCATGTCTGATTCGCACAAAGGCAAACAGGCGTCCTTCCAAGCCCGCATTCGGGTTAGAAGTCTACTCGCATCCAGCGGAAGCTGGTAGTCCCTAATACTATGTAACGATTCTAATATTTGAAGCACCAGTTCACCTTCAAAGGGATTGAGGACAAACGGCGGAAAGGCTGGAAGAAATGATGTCATTAAATCATGTGATGTCCCAATTTAGGTGACGGTCTTGTGGTCCACAAGATCATGTGATGTGAACAGGAAGCTCACCGGATGATGATGACATAGGGCGGGATGAGAACCAAGATTGCTTGGTGGAAAAAGGGCAGAAATTAACAAGTTGCACAGGAGCTGGAAGACACTGGCTGCGCAGAGTTTCAGGATTTGTGGTGAGGTGGTGGTTGCCAGCAAAGCCGAGAAGGGTGTTTCGCAAAGGTGGGTCGCTTGTACAAGGCGGGGCGCCTATACACGTGGACCCGCCTTTCGAAGGGTCATGAGGCGAGAATCTGGGTTACCTTTCATTTCTACATTTCCAAGTCCTCAGTCTCAGAAGTCGGCACAACACTTCAAACCTCCTCTAGAGGTACTTGTGATTGACTTTAATAATGCAAGTTGCAACATACATCTAATTTCCCCTCGCACTGCTCGTCGGGGTTCCCGAGGTCCACTTTCCTCATAAGGCAATTGCGGATCATCGCTCATCGCTTAACGAAGCTCGACAGTCCGGCTTTCCATAGATTACAGGTTGACTCTTCAGTGCTGCGGCTGCTCTCCTTCCTCATACACCCGCCAAGTGCTCCAAATGAGAGACAGAATATATCTCATAGCGTTCTTCGCCATTCTATTTACTTTCACTCTGGTGCGTGATTCGCCAGGTCTTGCAACTACGTGAGACTAATCATTGGAGTCGCTGGTGCAGAATGTTATCTCAGTTCGTCGCAACGACTGGTATGTTCCACAATCGCCATGGCATCCTTTTCCTAAATGTATCACGATCTCAGGGTCATAGTGAAAGAGAAAGTCTACTCATCCAGAATCATCATCAAATACGGCCTCTTCGTTCGCTGCGAACGTTCACATGTTGTCTTTCCACTGCCTGGTGACGACTCCAATGTCGAGTGGTCAGACTATCAATGTCGTCCATTTCCCAGAGGCAAAGCAGACAGGTGTGACGTACACCAGGGATTCTGCAATGCATGGGTCGCCGCGGGGTATCTCACGAGATTAAGTGAGTTGGTGGCGGTGGTTGCATTGCTGGCTATTGTGTTGGGCAGTACCATTTATCCCACCAGAAGGGGGTTTTGGAAGGTGGTCGCAGGGCTTACAGGATTTCACGGTGAGCATCGCCTTCTAAAATACAAGCATATCCATAACTCATGCGGACCTGGCGCAGCCACCCTCCAACTAGTTACGTTCTGGATCATCGCAGATGCTTCAGACGTATACACACGGTTCGACCATTCATATTCCGGTGAGTGAATCCTGTCCACGTCATTGATATTCGTCTCGCTTGACTTTCATGCACACAACAGGTGCCGCCTATGCTATGAACACCATATCTTGGGTTGTCGGTAGCCTGACCACAATTGGTTTCGCTATCGCCGGCATAGCTGCAGACAGAGGTCAGAGCTGGGCCGCAGGACATGCGGCATACCAATCTATCTCAGGTTGAATTGTCTCTTGGGGTCTGTTCATTTTCAGTTGCGCCATGGAACTGCGACTGTTGTGTAGCCAAGTAATCACATCATCCTATAGATCGCCCCTCATCGCCCTGCTGTCTTCGAAGCTCAACAATTCGTTCTCACCTACCCATCGGTGCCAATTTCAAGTTGCTGTCACACTGTCCCGACTTATGTCTTAATGCTAACGGACACTTTGATGATACCTTTTATCCTACTTGCTCACAGGTTCGGCAACTTCAAGTTCACTGATGTGTTCTGGGGTAGCAGCATCACCCACCCACTGGCAAAACTCTCGCGCGGGTCATCAAGAAGCATCCTTAATTTATTCATGTGACAGGCATCACCGCACAGTGTCGATACAACTACAGATTGGCTCCCTGTTCCTCGTGCTGCGGTCGCTACGCCCTCTTCCTTCAACAGTCACCACACACCCGTCGAACTTTGGAATAGGAAAATGCTAACCTCGCGCGTTATTTCAGTTGATCGCAGCGATTGGTACCACCCCAACCTCCCCACGCGATTCCCTTTGACCATACCTTTCCTGTCCATAGGATATTCGTGGAGATTCTGGAGAACAAGACCTACTCCTCCAAATTCATGATCAGATACGGACTCCTCATACAGTACGAACAATCACGCGTTGTCCTCCCATCTCCAAGCGGTAAACGTTCCATTTCAGTGGACGGACCACCAATGCCGTCCGTTCACCCAAGACGGTATGAAGGAATGCGATGCGACTTCATCTATTCACCACCTTTGGATGTTCCCGGCCATCTCGCAAGGCTGAGTGAGCGGGTGGTTGCGGCAGCTTTGGTGTCCGTGGTACTTAGCGGTACTTTTGGATGATCATCACAGGGCTTGTCGGGTTCAATGGTGGGCTGATGGATCATATCTACAGGCGTCGTTTATGCGTGGAATGCAGCATCCTGGGTTGCTGGTATTCTAGTGACGCTTGGCGTTATCTTGCCAATCAATGGTTTGGCTGCGGAGAGAGGCCATGTTCATTGTCGCCGGGGCTGCTGGTCATTTGGCCTATCGACCAATCTCGGGCTGAGTTGTGCATAACCTGC